AGCCACCGCATCCAGCCCCATGGCCAACTTTGAGAGTGCTTTGAAGTCAGGACCTTATACTTTTGGCCGTCCCAAAACTGGGCACCACTCTATGGATGCTCATATCGTACAAGCCAGACACAACAGAAAGGGGAAGAGTATGGCCCTTCCCACACAGGGCACCCGGCGAGATCATCAGTGAAGGGGACTGCATGGATTTACAGAGCACACAGGATGGGTCTCCATGAGAGACTCCTTCAGCTCTTGCAAACTTTACTTGTTTAACTCCAAACAGACATGTGCTGCCTAAAAAAGGAACATGTGCTGGCGATTTCTAACTTTGTGAGAAAACTGTCATTGATTTCCAACAAAGCAAGTGGCCTGGGAAGGCAGAGGCAGCAGCCACATCCTGTGTGCTGCAGGCTGCATCCTCAGCTCTCCTGGGTGCTGCTGAAAACACCGGCAGGAGGATGGGGAGATGACTTCTCCACTCCGGGGCTCAGAGTGCCCTACGGCAGGAAGGAGAGGGTTTTGGCTGTGTGTCAGTCTAAGGAAAGGCATGGAAAGGCTACTAATAGAGAACCAGGGTACCTCTTCGAAATTGCCCTTGTGCCAGACCCTGGGGCCTCTTCTCCATCAGCCCCAGCCTCCAGAGCCTTCAGGCACACTAGAGTGGGCCTGGTCCTGAAGCCCTACAAAGCACATTCTGGTTTTCCCTATTACAGAATTAAAGAATCACTTCAAGGTGGAAGATCTTCTGAGACATCCTGTGCTATCCCTTCCAGTACTTATTCGCTTTCTGGGCCAGATCCTTTCCTCTGAGGACCTTCCTGATTCAGAAAGAGTGGCTTCATTCAGAAACACTTCTTATAATCAACCAGCCACTACCCTGGGCTGCCTCTTTCTTCCAGGTCTTCCAGGGTAGCCCTCGCAATCTCATCTGCCCACCCCTTGCAGCCTCCGGTTGCCCAGATGTGGTCCTGTTTTGGAGTCAAAGGCCCAGCAACATTGTGGAGGGAAAGGGACCAGCACTGGGAAGGTGCAAAGCACTTGAGCTTCCCTGGCTTCCCCCAGACACTCTCTGATCTGGACAAAATGGCAGGCTGGACATCTCTGGCTGCTTGGCAGCAGTAGCCTGCACTGGCTGGTACCCGAAACCCCCAAGTCGTTCTCACTTGTTCTGCTATTTGGTTTCTTCCCTTTTCTTGAATTGCCACAGCTCATTTTTTTGGAGCTAAGTGGTCTGGTCCCTCCTTGCATCTGATGATACTTGGCTTTGTTGCCTGTAGCACGTCCCTCATTGGTAGTTGGGCTCTTCCCAGGCACAAGCTAGCAGCATGTAATGCCAGGACATCCTGGGAAAATGTCTGCCTGTGCCCAAGAGCTCCTCCTGCAGCAGACCATGACTTGGTGGACATTCAGGGTAGAAATGAATGGGTGAAAAAAATATGCATATGTGTGTATATGTGTATATATATACACATACACATATATACATACATACACGCACATATACATACATGTATACATATATGTATAGATATATATACACATATATATATTTTGAGACGGAGTCTTGCTATGTTGCCAGGCTGGAGTGCAGTGGTACTACCTCGGCTCACTGCAGTCTCTGCCACCTGGGTTCAAGTGATTCTCCTGCCTCCGCCTCCTGAGTAGCAGAGACTACAGGTGCGCACCACCATGCCCGACTGATTTTTTGTATTTTTATTAGAGATGGGGTTTCACCATGTTGGCCAGGATGGTCTTAATCTCCTGACCTCGTGATCTGCCTGCCTAAGCCTCCCAAAGTGCTAGGATTACAGGTGTGAGTCACTGCGCCTGGCCTGGGTGAAATATTTTTATGAAATTTTTCTGACCACAAATAGCATTTTCTGTCCATGTAGAACCAAATACTCCAGGAGACAAATGTCTAGCTCTGACTATTCACGTTATACTAAATGCTTAATCTCTTGCTAATTACGTATTTGTAACACTTGGAGCTACTTGGAAAAATGAAGATTTATTCACTGAATCATTTTTGACTGAGTTTAAAACTTCACAGCTGTCACTGTTTATACCCAAAGGGAAAGTACTGGTCTCTGCCCAAATGTCTTCAAAGGAACCACAGCCAGTTACAACTCTTCATATATCATACTAGTTACTACCGAGAGCAATTCGTTCAGAAAGCAAAGGACAACAAAAGAATACTCAGTTTTGCCTAAAGCCCGTGGTGCTGATAACACCCAAATGACCTAAAGTTGAGCAATCACTGATTTATTCATTGATTCATTCATTTCTTCAGCAAAATTCACATTGAGCATCTTGTCTGTGCCAGGCCTCTGTGCTAGGGCCATGAAGAGGACTAAGATCTAATCACTGGCCTTAGGGACATCACAGCTGAGTGGGGGACACCAATAAGGAAAGTGGCATTTCTGATGTGGTGTTAACAAGGGCCATGGGAACACAGAGGAAGCCAGGCTGGCTGATGGACTTGAGATGATAGGGGATGGAGAATCAGGAGAAGGATTCCTTGGAAAAGGTGATGCTTGAATTGGCAAAACCATGGGGAGAAGGGAGAGGCTGGAATGTAGAATGTGGCAAGTGCCATGTCGCACTGTGGCCAGGCAAGGGAGATCTGGCTGGGAAATAGGGATGCCGGGTCATGCATCAGAGCTAAGCCTGTGGAGGCAGGCCAGCCCCAGCTTCTGAAGGGCTTTGCATGTGCCAACAACCCGATACAGCAGGCATTTTTCTCATCTTTCATTTCAGAGAAAACAAAGGCTCAAAAAAGATGAGTAGCTCGCCCAGGATCAGATAGCTAATATGAATTGTTCTGATTCCAGGCCGGGATTACTCATGCCTGTAATCCCAGCACTTTGGGAAGCCGAGGTGGGTAGATCACAAGGTCAGGAGTCCAAGACTAGCCTGGCCAAGATAGTGAAACCCCATCTCTACTAAAAATGCAAAAATTAGCCGGGCCCAGTGGCAGGCACCTGTAATCCCCACTACTTGGGAGGCCGAGGCAGGAGAATTGCTTGAACCTTGGTGGCAGAGGTTGCAGTGAGCTGAGATCGCACCACTGCACTCCAATCTGGGTGACACTGAGTGAGACACTGTCTCAAGAAAAAAAAATAGTTCTGATCTCGAAGCCCATATTCTTCAACGCTCATCTCTACTGCCTCCACTCTGGTGGCCGACTAGGAAATGGACTGTGGTGAGTGCCACACTGGAGAGATGGAGATTGGTGAGGCCAGTGCAGGTGGGCAGTATGAAGACCTGAATTACAGTGGTGGAGACAGAATGGAGAAGAGGGAACGGATTTGAATATTGAGGAGTTGGAATTGACTGGTCTTGTTAGAAGTTGGTTGAAGGTGGGAAGCAATGACAATTACCAATATTTCTAGCCTGGGCAGCTGGATACTTTTCATTGAGATTGGGACCTTGGAGAAGAAAAGCTTTGGAACTGGAATATCAGAAGTCCACTGGTGACATCCGAGGGGAGGTGTTTAGAGGGCAAATGGACACATGGGTCTGGAGCTTGCGAGAATGGTCTGAGCTTGCGAGAGGTCAGTCAGCCACGCTGTCCTCTACATAAAATGGGGAAAATAATAGTGCCCGCCTCCTTGGCTTGTGGTAAGGGGAAAATCAGTAAAGATCAAGGGCAGTACCCAGCACAGAGTCAGCACTCTGTAAAGGTTAGCAACTATTGTTTCTATCATCATAGGTGGTAATTAAAGTCATGGGAGCAGATGAGGTACCACAGACAGCAAAGAAGGAGAAGAGGACCTGGGGCTGAATGCTGAAAAAAAACATTGACACCTAGGGGACTGGCAGAGGAAGGGGAATGTACATAAGACCGAAGCAGTTTCTAGAGCCATAGGAGGAAGCCTGGAGAGCATGGGTTTGGGAAGGATGAGAGTATCGTCAAGGAGGAGGTATCATCAGGAGGTTTGAATGTTGGAGAGTTCAGGCCCTATGAAGCTGAGGGCATGCTCTGTGGGGCCCATGCTCATGCATTTGACAAACAGGAATCGAGAATGCTAGGTGCAGCGCTGGTGCTGACAAAACAGCAGTAAATGAAACAGATGCAGCTGGGTACAGTGGCTCATGCCTGTAATCCCAGCACTTTGAAGGGCTGAGGCCAGGAGTTCAAGACCAGCCTGGCCAACATGGTGAAACCCTCGCTACTAAAAATACAAAAATCAGCCAGGTGTGATGGTGAGTGCTTGTAATCCCAGCTATTCAGGAGGCTGAGTCAGGAGAATCACTTAAACCCCGGAAGTGGAGGTTGCAGTGAGCCGAGATCATGCCATTGCACTCCAGCCTGGGTAACAAGAGCAAAAACTCCGTCTCAAAAAAAAAAAAAAAAAAAAAAGTGTCATAGTTGAAGTGCTCATATACTTTTGGGAAAGTAATACATCTTTTAAAATAGCAGGTTTTTATGTGAAAGTCTCCCTCAGCGTCAGAGCCTTCTGGCTGCTGTTCAATGAAGTTGTACAGGACAGGTGGCCTCTTATATAGCCGGAAAGGCCAAAACTACTGCCCATGTCAGCTGAGAAGTACAAAGCAGAACCAGGCGCAGTGACTCAGGCCTGTAATCCCAGCACTTTGGGAGCCTTAGGCAGGTGGATCACTTGAGCTCAGGAGTTTGAGACCAGCCTGGCCAACATGGTGAAACCCCATCTCTACTAAAAATACAAAAATTAGCCGGGTGTGGTGGTGTATGCCTGTGGTCCCAGCTACTCGGGAGGCTGAGGCAGGGAAATCGCTTGAACTCAAGAGGTTGAGGTTGCAGTGAGCTGAGATTCACATCATGGCACTCCAGCCTGAGCAACAGAGTGAGACTCCATCTGAAAAAAAAAAAAAAAAAAAAAAAAAAAAAAAAAAAAAAGAGGTGGAGCCTCACTCCCCTTGAATGTGAGCTGGACTTAGTGACTGACTTCTAATTAATAAAGTAAAGCAGAAGTGACAGTGTTCAAGTTCTTACATGGTCTTCTTCCTTGGTCTCTGTCTCTCAGATCACTTGCTCTGGGAAAAGCCAGCTATGCTGTGAGGCCACTGAGGCAGCCCTATGGAGAGGGTAACATGGGCAACTGAGGCCTTTTGCCAGTAACCCAACTATCACTGGAAGCGGCTCTTCCAGGCCCAGTCAAGCCTTCAGACGACTGCAGTCTCAGCTGACATCCTGACTGCAACCTCAGGAGAGACCCTGAGCCAAAACCACTCAGTTAAGCTGTTCCCAGGTTCTTGACCCATAAAAATGGCGTGAGATAATATATTGTTACTGTTTTTAGCTACAAAGTTTCGGGGGTAATTTGTTATATAGCAATAGGCCATTGATGCAGATAGACTGATTTTAACAATTTTTGTGGATTTATGTGGTTTGAATATGATGGCTTTCATTTTTTCTTCACAGCAGCTGTGCAAGCTCTCTGTAGTGGCAGTGGCAGGGAGTTGGGCAGGAAGAGGGGATCTGGAGAGGGAACCTGCTGGAAGTCACCATGCTGCATGGCCTAGACTTCCATCCTTAAGAAAAGGGCATGGGGAGAGGGTGGAGCAGGGAAAGGGAGGCAAAGGGGCCAGCCATGGGCAGAAGGCAGGTGCTGAGGGGCTGAGGAATCTGAAGTCCTCAGGAGCTCTGAAGTTCTGGCTTCTCCCAGCTCACTTAGGCCCTACCAATATAACCAATATGAACTGCTCTAAACTTTACACATGTTTAAAGAAAAGTGTTTTTTTTTTGAGATGGAATTTTGCTCTTATTGCCCAGGTAGGAGGTGCAATGGCGCAATCTCTGCTCACTGCAACCTCCGCCTCCTGGGTTCAAGCGATTCTCCTACCTCAGCCTCCTGGGTAGCTGGGATTACAGGCATGCACCACCATGCCTGGCTAATTTTGCATTTTTTTTTTTTTAAGTTGAGATGAGGCTTCTCTATGTTGGTCAGGCTGGTCTTGAACTCCCGACCTCAGGTGATCCACCCACCTCAGCCTGCCAAAGTACTGGGATTACAGGTGTGAGCCACTTCGCCTGGCCAAGAAAAGGTGTTTTTACTTAATTGGTAATTTGGTGAATTGGCCACTCAGCAAACTTGTCACTTGGCCAGTTGGTTTTTGGCAAGTGTGCTTTTGGCAAATTAATGTACAGAGAATTTGTCTGCCTCTTTTTTTTTTTTTTTTTTTTTTTTTGAGACAGAGTTTCACTCTTGTTGCCCCCAGGCTGGAGTGCAATGGCGTGATATCTGCTCACTGCAACCTCCACCTCCTGGGTTCAAGTGATTCTCTTGCCTCAGCCTCCCGAGTAGCTGGGATTACAGGCATGCAACACCATACCCAGCTAATTTTGTATTTTTAGTAGAGACAAGGTTTCTCCATGTTGGTAAAGCTGGTCTCAAACTCCCAACCTCATGTGATCCAACTGCCTCGGCCCCCCAAAGTGCTGGAATTATAGGTGTTAGCCACCACACCTGGCCTGGTCTGCTTCTAATTAAGTCATACACAGTAATTTTTATGTTCTTAGGTAATACTTTTTTAGAACATTGAGACAGTTGGCAGGTGCAGTGGGACTGTGCCAGGACTCTTGGGTAATAATTTATTTGTAGGCTAGGTGTAGTGGCTCATGCCTGCAACCCCAGCATTTTGGGAGGCTGAGGCAGTCAGATCGCCTGAGGTCAAGAGATTGAGACCAGCCTGGCCAACATGTTGAAACCCTGCCTCTACTAAAAATACAAAAATTAGTCGGGTGTGGTGGTGCACATCTGTAGTCCCAGCTACTAGGGAGGCTGAGGCAGAAATGTTGCTTGAACCCAGGAGGCAGAGGATGCAATGATCCGAGATCGCACCACTGCATTCCAGCAGAGTGAGGCTTCATCTTAAAAAAAAAATTATCTGTAAAAGGAGTACTAATACATTGACACACACACACTTCAAATTTCCAACAGAATTCATTAATTTCTTCTTCAGAAATACTTCTATAACTTTCAAATTTCTCTTCTCTAGGAAGGGAGACCAATAAGTAACTCCTTCTACGGCTTAGACTGCCAGTCCTGATACCACTCATTCCTGGGAAAGCAATCCTCCCCAGGTGGAAACTGCATTTTCTACTTCAAAGCTAAGATAAATGGAGGTGAGTTCCAGGTATGACCACTTTGGAGAAGTCCTTCCTTCATTTTGATTTTGCTTTCTCAGGTTAAATAGGATAATCTTTAAAAGAACTTCTAAAAATCAAATTCTGTGATTTAAAAAAAACCCAAAAACATAAGAAATTAGTGGATGTAGGAGTCAGTCTCCTTTGCCTGTTTTTTTTTTCTTTTTTCTTTTTGAGATGGAGTCTGCCCAGACTGGAGTACAGTAGTGTGATCTTGGCTCACCACAACCTCTGCCTCCTGGGTTGGAGCAATTATCCTGCCTCAGCCTCCCGAGTAGCTAGGATCACAGGTGTGTGCCACCACACCCACCAAATTTTTGTATTTTTAGTAGAGACGGGGTTTCGCCATGTTGGCCAGGCTGGTCTTGAACTCCTGATCTCAGGTGATCCACCCAGCTTGGCCTCCTAGAGTGCTGGGATTACAGGCGTGAGTCACTGCCCTGGCTGCCTGGTTATTTTTACTTCAAAGTGAAGAACATGCCAATAACAGACAATCAGAACCTCCTGTGGCAGGGGAACCAGGCAGCAGGGTGTTCCCATGGCATTGAACACAATGCTCCTTCGCCACCCCTCCCTTGAGAAAAGGGAGGAAATGAAAGAGAGAGAAGCCTATCTCACTTGCACAGACATAAAGCTATCACCACGTATGTCCCTCAGGTCTGACATATCCCACTGTAGTGGTTTTAAAACTTAGCCACAGGATGGGTGTGGTGACTCTTGCCTGTAATCCCAGCACTTTTGGAGGCCAAGGCAGAAGGATTGCTTGAGCCCAGGAGTTAGAGACCAGCCTGGGCAACATGACAAAATACCCTCTCTACAAAAAATACAAAAATTAGCTGGGCATGGTGGTGCATGCCTGTAGTCCCAGCTATTTAGGAGATTGAGGTGGGAGGATCACCTGAGCCCAGGAAGTTGAGGCTGCAGTGTGCTGTGATCATGCCACTGCACTCCAGCCTGGGTGACAGAGTGAGACTTTGTCTCAAAAACAAAACAAAACAAAACTTGGCCAAAAAAAAAAAAAAATATTTGACTCTCTGTTCGTAGAGGAGTGGGATCTATGTGCTTCTCTTGAGTCAGGGCAGGAGGCGATGCTTTGTCACTTAGGAAGCAAGGTCAAAAAAGGCCATGCAGTGCTTTGGTCCAGAATGTTGGAGAAGCTCAGCTACCTGCTCTTGGAACCGAGCCACCAAGCTGTTAGAAGCCAGAGCTACATGGAGAGACCATGCGTAGGTGCTGCAGTTGACGGTCTCAGCGGAGTCCTACCTTCATGCTCTGAAAGACTCCAGCTCCCTAGGCCAGGTAAGATGGCTCATGCCTATAATCACTTCTTTGGGAAGCTGAGGCAGCAGGATCGCTTGAGCCCAGGAGTTCAAGAGCAGCCTGGGTAACACAGTGAGACCTCGTTTCTAAATAAATAAATACAATAAAAAGACTAGCTCCCTTGCTCTACCCTATGCCAGGAGTAGGGTGAAGCACTTGGCTCAGGTGCAAATTAGTACTATTTTGATGGAATCTTATTAAAAACTTAACTTTTTTTTTTTTTTTGAGATGGAGTCTCGCGCTGTTGTCCAAGCTGGAGTGCAGTGGCATGATCTCTACTCACTGCAACCTCCACCTCCTGGGTTCAAGCAACTCTCCTGCCTCGGCCTCCCAAATATCAGGGATTATAGGCATGCACTACCATGCCTAGCTAATTTTTGTACTTTTAGTAGAGATTGGGTTTTACCATGGTGGCCAGGCTGCTCTCAAACTCCTGACCTCAAGTGATCCACATGCCTTGCCCTCCCAAAGTGCTGGGATTACAGGTGTGAGCCACTGGCACCTGGCAAAACTCTAAAATTAATGCAAAAATATTCTTGATGAGCAGCATATCCAAATGTCAAGTGAAGATAGGAGACACTCTGGAGCCTGAGCAAAAGGAAAAGTCAGTGGTACTGGTCCTCAACAGCCCCACTCTAGACCAGCTGTGGCTCCCGGACCCCTTCACAGATGAGTCCCCAGACATTGTGGAGCAAAGATCATCTGTCTCCAGTGTGTCCTGTTCAAATTCCTGACCTACAGAATATGTGAGCATAATGTAATAGTGGTATTTGTTTGTTTGTTTGTTTTGTTTTGTTTTTTGAGATCAAGTCTCACTCTGTTGGGCAGGCTGGAGTATAGTGGCATGATCTTGGCTCACTGCAACCTCCACTTCATGAGTTTGAGTGATTCTCCTGCCTCAGCCTTCTGAGTAGCTGGGACTACAGGCATGCACCACCATGCCCAGCTCATTTTTGTATTTTTAGTAGAGACAGGGTTTCACCATGCTGACCAGGCTGGTCTTGAACTCCTGACCTTCTGATCCACCTGCCTTGGCCTCCCAAAGTGCTGGGATTATAGGTGTGAGCCACCACACTTGGCCAATAGTGGTAGTTTTATGGCACTACATTTGCAGTGGTTTGTTATAAGTAATAGGTAACTGGAAGACCCACCCTCAGCGCCAGAGGCCTTACCATCTCCTACCTTCTCCAAAAACCTTCACTTTTTCTCCTTCTATATACCCTCTTCCATGGCCCTAAGAACTCAAGAAGTAAAGAGTCACTGAAGACACATTCCCTTTCCTTAGATATTAGGACTATGGTTGGACATCTGGGCTGAAAAAACTAGGTACTTCAGATTTTATTCTCAATATGATGATTAACAGCACAAATCAGGGTACACACAATTCATTTGTCCCAATTCATTCATTCATTCAACAAACATTTAGGGGGATACCTTTTTCAGTGCTATGTATGCACTGACATACAATGGTAAATAAAAAAGATGTGGTCTCAGCTCTTCTGGAGCTGACTTTCTAGCAGATAATGCACAAGTAAACAAGTACACAGATGCGGTCCTTTCCCAAGGAGATAAGTCTCATGATGTGACATGATAGAGAGGGACTGAGGTGGGCGGTGGGAACGAGTGAGGAAGCTTTAGAAAGGGAGATCAGAGAAGGCTTCCTCTCAGAGGTGATGTCTGAGCTTACACTTAAAGTTTGAGAAAGGTCAATCCAAGGTCTGTGGGGAAGGGGAAGAGCCCTCCATGCGTTACAGGCCATGCAGGTGTCTAGGTTTTAGTCTGGATGCAATGGGAAGCTAAAGAGTGATAGTGTCTAATATATATATATTAGTGTCTAATATATATATATGTGTGTGTGCGCGCATTTAGTTTTTTGTTTTTTTTTCTAGTGTCTCTCTCTCTCTCTATATATATATATACATACACATACATATATATGTATGTGTATATATTTGTATATTCAGTCTCTGTCACCCAGGCTGGAGTGTAGTGGCATGATCTTGGCTCACTGCAATCTTCACCTCCTGGGTTCAAGCGATTCTTCTGACTCAGCCTCCCTAGTAGCTGGAATTCTAGGTGTGTGCCACCACGCCCAGCTAATTTTGTATTTTTTTTTTGAGACGAAGTTTCGCTGTTGTTACCCAGACTGGAGTGCAATGGCATGATCTCGGCTCACCACAACCTCTGCCTTCTGGGTTCAAGCAATTCTCCTGCCTCAGCCTCCCAAGTAGCTGGGACTACAGGCGTGCACCACCATGCCCAGCTAATTTTTGTATTTTTAGTAGAGACGGGGTTTCACCTTGTTGACCAGGATGGTCTTGATCTCTTGACCTTGTGATCCACCCATCTAGGCCTCCCAAAGTGCTGGGATTATAGGCATGAGCCACCGCGCCCGGCCAATTTTTGTATTTTTAGTAGACACTGGGTTTCACTATGTTGGCCAGGCTGGTCTCCAGCTCTTGATCTCAAATGATCTACTCTCCTTGGCCTCCCAAAGTGCTGGGATTACAGGCAGGAGCCACTGTGTCTGACCATATTATTTTTAAGATGATCATTCTGGCTGCAACAAGAGAACGGATTACAGGGGGACAAAATGGAACCAGAAAGAAGGATGGCGGGTTAGACTAAGGTTAGACTAAGGTGATCACAGTGGGGGACAGGGACAGGGAAGGTAAGGAGAGATACAGCCTAGAGGACCTGGTAAGCAGGGGATGGAGTGGGTGGTGAGAGAATGAAGGAGTCTGGTATTAGTCCTCCACGTTTTGCTTGAGTGGTTGGGCTGGTGGTGGTCCCTGTTACTGAGATAGAGAAAACAGGAAGAGGGTCAGGCTTGGAGAAGAAAATCAAGAATTCTGTTTTGGCCATAAATTTGAGATGTCTGTTAAACATCCATATGGGAAACCACGTAGGGAAAAATTACACAGAGATGCAAAGGAAGAGGCTGAGCTAACGGTCTGGTAGAGAAGTAGGAGAAACAAGCAAAGGAGACTAAGGCAAAACCAGCAGGTGGAGGGAAACTCCTATCACAGAAGCCAACAAAGAAAGCGGGGGAGTGATCAGCTGGGTCAAAAGCAGCTGGGAGGTCAAGTAGAAGGAAATGGTAAAGAAATCAATAGCTGGGGGCCAACTTGGAGTCAAGGAGGGGTGTGCATCCCTAAATGCTATAATTTTACCTTTTTTTTGGTACATGTCTTTTAAATCTCTTTTAATCCATAGGTTCCCAAAGAGGGCCTCTTTTAAAAATGGAAGATAGAGAGCATATTTGCACGTCAATGTGGTCCAGCAGAGAAAAAGGGAGAGGCAAGCTACAGAAAGGAAGTCTTTGAGGGAATGTGCTTCAGAGAATAAGCAGAAGAGGGAGCCTGTGATAGGAACCGGGGACACCAGCTTAATGGGAAGGAGAGCAGAGGACGTGACTAACCTGACTCACTGGTCAGGCAGGTTGGTAGATGTGGTGGGGGAAGGTGGCATTCTCCATGAAAAAGGAGGTGAGGCCACCAACAGCTTCCTCCATCACTGATACCCACAGCAAGATAAACAATCACAGGCCCCTCAGCCCCTCTGCCTCCTGTTGTCAGTGGACACTGCCCTGAGGATGCCACTTTCCCTGTAGCTTTCTCAGGGGAAGGATGCCAATAACCTCATGCTTTGCCCTAGACACACACCACATGGGAGTGGAGTGGACACCCCCCGGCTTCTCCTTCCAAGACACTCACTTTTCTCCTTCCCAATGCAAACAGGCAAACACAAACAAAACTCCAGTGTCTCGCACAGTTCTCAGCACATCAAAGATATTCAGTAAATATTTGTTTAAAGAAACAAACCATCCCTGCCCTTTAGAGTCCCTGTCACCCACTAAACTCTTCTCCCCGCAGTCACTCAGGTTCGTCAGGTTCCTGCTTCTCCATGCTGACTGCTGCCAGCATCCTGGGGCTTCACTCTGGTTTTGCAATTTGGTATACTCGAATTCAAAGAAATTACTCTCTAATCCTCTTCGGTCATCCACTGTTGGGAGCACATTTAAGACCCATCGGAACTTTCCACCCCGCCTCGGGAGAAGTTTCAGTGGCAACTGAAGGCATGCAAATTTCATCTCTCCCTTAACTTCCCATCTATGCTGATCATGTGAAACAGTGCCCCTGAGTGGACAATCACTGCATATGCATTCTCTACATTTGGAATAATAGGAAGACTATTTTGAAGCGCCTGGTTAAAATAATAACAATAAAAAATTCATTCAACAGACATTTGTGTACGTGTGTGTGTGTGTGTGTGCGTGTCTGCTATTATCTGAAATTACCTTGGGGCATGTAGTTTCACTGTTATCACATGATCCTATAACAAACCAAAGGCAGTCAGAGTCATGTTCCCACTGCCTCTTCCACAGTGTTAGCTGTTACTGAATAAATGCAGAAGGATTCTAACTTAGGCTGCTATTGGAAGAAGCTGTTACAACTCTGGAGGACTTCATCAGCATAAGAGGTTTTTTTTTGGTCGGGTGCAGTGGCTTGCACTTGTGATCCCAGCACTTTGGGATGCAGAGGCAGGAGGATCACTTGAGCCCAGGAGTTTGAGGGCAGCCTAGGCAACACAGGGAGACCCCATCTCTACAAAGAATTAACGGGGCATGGTGATTCATGCCTGTAGTCCCAGCTACTTGGGAGGCTTAGGTGGGAGGATGACTTGAGCCTAGGAGGTCGAGGCTGGAGTGAGCCGTGACTGTGCTACTGTGCTCCAGACTAGGCAACAGAGTGAGACCCTGTCTCAAAAAAGAAAAAAGATTTTTTTCATAAATTTATTTAACAAGCTTCTACTGAGTACCCATTATGCTCCAGGTCCTGAGTTGGAAAAAGATGAATCAGACCTAGTACCTGCACTGTTGTTCAGAGATCTGGAGGAGAAAGGCATAGAGGTGAGTAATCCCTAATGCAGTGCGATGTATAGCACTCACTCACTCAGCAAACATGCAGTGAGGACCTGACATGCTAGGGATTGTGCCGAGGCTATAAGGACAAAAGCCATGACAGTTGAACTGAAATTGTGTACAGTCTGTGTAAGGGGAAGTCACCATTTTAGAGAACACCGCCCTAATGGAGGGAGTTAAAAGAGGGGAAGTGGGGACAGGGTGGTTCAAAGGAAGGAGGGCTGACATTTGGGCAGGGGTTGAAGGGTCAGGGAAGGGCTTAGAGAGGCAGTGCTTAAGCTGAGCATTGTTGGATGGATGAGGAGCGGGCATGTTTGCCACACAGAGGTGGGGCAGGGAGAGGAAGGTCTCAGTGCTACCCAATCTAGTCCTTGAGATTGTTAGACTAAGCTTCCTAACATGATTCTACTGCCAGGTCAGCTCCAATGCCAGTGACAACCCTCTGGTTCAGGGTCTGACTATTTCTTAGGTCCCTGTACCACTCCACCCCTTCACTGGTGGCTCCTCTCCAGCCAGGACACTCTGCTCCAGCTGCTAATAGATTTTAGCATAGCATTATTTCTCAAAATATAAGGGCCACATATGCACACAGACCCGCAGGGGTCAAAAACAAAACAAAAACTGACTATGTTGCTGAAGGAATAATATGCCTGACATTCAGTTTTGGCACTGCTGCCCAGAAAAAACCTAGGTTGGAAGTACCCTCCAGAGCCTTATTGATCATCCCCAGGATCTCACTTGTGTACTTAAACCTCAGTGCCTGGCCATTATGCCCTCCTCCCCAGGTTTCCTGAACCTGGGGCTCAGGCTGTCACCCTGGACACAGGAGTCCCTGTCCCTGTACTGATGCCCAGACCATTCCTGCTTACTGGACCTTTCTGTCCTGGTCTCCTGGCCCTGCCCGCTGACATCCATACGCTGCTTCACTCTCCTCACCAGGCAGTTGCCTGTGCTGTCCGTGCTCTCTTCCTGGGGCTTAGTTCCCAGCTGGACCAGCACATTCTTATTTTTGTCATTTGAACCATCCCAAATGCCTCCCAATTGGCCTCCAGCCTCAAGTGTCCCGTGGCTCTGGCCAGCCTGGCACAGTACCACCCAGGCCATCTTCAGAGGCACTGCACACCCTCAGTCCTCACCCATAGCAGGCTCACTTTCAGTGGCTCCATGATGCATACTGGAGAGACTAACACCTACCCTACATGGGATTCAAAGTGCCCTCCATTGCTCCTAGCCTACCTTTTCCTAGACCTAAACCTTTACCATCCCTTCTCCAGTAACCCGCCCATTATTCCCGGGACATGCCCTGTACTTCCCTACGTCTGCCTTCCTACCATTCCCCTTTCCAGAACGACCTCTTCTTCTCCTTTTGACCTTCCAAAATCCTCCCCATTCTCCATGGCTCAGTTCAAACAACACCGTCTCAATGAACCCTTCCTTGATCTCCCCCTGTTGAAAATAGAATCTCCTTCCTCTGAACCACTAGGAAAAGGGAAGCAAATTATATCGTTTAAATATCTGCCATGAGCTATATGTTAAAAGCATAAACTTTAGAGTCAGGCAGATCTGGCTAGAATCCAATAGCTGTGTAACCTTGGGAAGCACACGTAATCTCTCTGTGCTTCAGTGTTTTATCTTGAGAAACATAAAAATACCTATCTTTACCATTCATTCATGTAAACATTTGAATCTCTAATACATCCCAGGCTTTGTACTCTTATGGTTATTTTGTTGTTATTGTTTTTTTGAGATGGAGTCTTGCTCTGTCGCCCAGACTGGAGTGCAGAGGCATGATCGTGGCTCAATGCAACCTCTACCTTCCAGATTCAAGTGATTCTCATGCCTCAGCCATTTAAGTAGCTGGGATTACAGGCACATGCCACCAACCCTGGCTAATTTTTTTGTATTTATAAGTGGAGATGGGGTTTTGCCATGTTGGCCAGGCTGGTCTCCCTGTGGCTGATGCAAGGCACAGATGTGACTGACGTTTTCTGAACCAGCATCTTCCACTGCCAAGGCCGTCCCAGATACTCAACATTAAGGCTCTTTGTGACTAAGAGAAAGCTCTGGAGAGCTGAGACAGCTGGCTCTTGGCACCCCCTCTGCCATGTGGAGTAGCCTCCCTACCTTCATACTGGACTTCCAGGTGCATCGTGCCCAGCACCTTCAGCACGCAGTCCACGATGCAGGGGTGTGTGGTCCTAATGATTGGCTGATAAGACAGACAACAGGACAAGGTGGTTAGTCTTTGTTTTTCAAAGATGGAGTCCCACTCTGTTGCCCAGACTAAAGTGCAGTGGCACAATCCCAGCTCACTGCAACCTCTGGTTCCTGGGCTCAAGGGATGCTCCTGCTTCAGCCTCCCGAATAGCTGAGATTACAGGCTCCACCACCACACCCAGCTAAATTTTTTTCTTTTTTTTTTTTGAGACAGAGTCTCTGTCACCCAGGCTGGAGTGCAATGGCACAATCTCGGCTCACTGCAACCTCCACCTCGCAGGTTCTAGGCTCACTGCAACCTCCACCTCGCAGGTTCTAGAGATTCTCCTGCCTCAGTCTCCTGAGTGGCTGGGATTACAGGGGTGTGCCACCATATCTGGCTAATTTTTGTATTTTTAGTAGAGATGGGGTTTCACCATGTTGGTCAGGCTGGTCTGGAACTCCTCACCTCGTGATCTGCCCACCTCACCCTCCCAAAGCACTGGGACTGCAGGCGTGAGCCACTGTACTTGGCCCCCAGCTAATTTTATTTTAGTAGAGATGGGGTTTTGCCATGTTGGCCAGGCTGGTCTCAAACTCTTGACCTCAAGTGATCCGCCCACCTTAGCCTCCCAAAGGGGTGGGATTACAGGCGTGAGCCACTGTGGCCACCCAAGGTGGTTAGTCTTTAGATCTTGTCCACCTGGAAGAAAGGAAACTCAGACTTCCAAACAGCCAGGAGCCTGGGTGAATGGGGGAGAGGGAGGGAGGGCAGTGGTAAGTCACTGGGCCTAGGCTGAGGCTGCCACTGAACTCTCTAGCTCAGGAGGCATTAAATGAGGCTACCTGCAAGAGGTGCAGAAATGAGGCTGCCTACTCTGGCTGGGGAAGAGAGGACCCAGGGCAAGGAGAATGGAACACATCCAAGATCCTAAAATCTTCTCTTCCTCAGGAACCTCATCCCATCAGACAGCCCCTTTTTTCTGTCTCTCCAAACTTTACCCATGCATTGATTCCCTTCTTGTAGCATTAAACATCCTCAAGCTCATCCATATTTAACAACATTGTCCTTCAACTCTTCCTTTGCTATTGCTGTTTTTTCCCTTTACATCTAAGCTTCCCAAGAGAAGCCACTTCTTCATCCCCCATTCATCCTTTGACAGGGTGCTGCGGTTTAATTTTTCCTGCCATAGACGGTCTCCGAATTCACCAAAACTTTTCCTGCTGGGACCATCTTTCTATTCTACCCTTACTGAATCCCTTTGTTGCATCTGACCCAGCTGGTCATGTCCTCCTTATGCAGACTCTTTTCCCTTGATTTTTCCAGCCCCATTTTTTCTGTTTTCCTTCTATCACTGTCATTGCCCTTTTTCTTTTCTTTCCTTTTTTTTTTTTTTGAGACAGATTTCTCGCTCTGTCACCTAGGCTAGAGTGTAGTGGTGTGATCTCAGCTCACTGCAACCTCCGCCTCCCGGGTTCAAGCAATTCTCCTACCTCAGCCTCACAAGTAGCTGAGATTACAGGCATAAGACACCAAGCCCAGCAATTTTGTTTTTTAGTAGAGACAGGGTTTCATCATGTTGGCCAGGCTAGTCTCAAACTCGATCTGCCCATCTCAGCCTCCCAAAGTGCTGGGATTACAGGTGTGAGCCACTGCACCTGGCCATGTCTTACCCTTTTTCAAAGAGGCAGAGTGGTATGTAGAAAGAATAAGGACTTTGGAGATAGTTGATTTAAATTATCGCTCGGTAAACACCTTCTACTTAGCATGTGGCCTTGGATAAGTCACTTAACTGAGCTCAGTTCCACCATCTTTGAAAAAAGGAGAATAATATCTGCCTCCATCAGCTATAGTGACGATGAAGAGAGAGAGGGTAGATAAGCCCCTAACAGCGGCTGGCATGTATGAGGCACTTAGTAAATGGAAACTGTGGAAATAAAATAATGATGATAATCTAATCTGTTTTTAGAATTGTTTTAGAGACAGGGTCTCACTCTATCACTCAGGCTGGCATGCAGTGGGCCATTATGGCTGATTGCAGCCTCGAACTCCTGGGCTCCAGTGATCCTCCCACCACAGCCTCTGGAGCAGCTGGGACTATAGGCACATGCC